GAAGAGAGGTGAGCTATCACTTAATGGGTATAGGGCTTTAGTCTGGGATGAACATGTTCTGATGCTGGGTGTGGGTGATGGTTTTAAGCATTGTGAATGAAGAACTGCTGTGGAATTGCACTTTAAAATCTGTTAAAATTGTGTCACATATATATGACATATATATATGACATATATATATATATATATATACACACACACACATACACATATATACATATATATGACATATATATGTATATATATATATCAAGTCTGCACTGCTAGTGGCCTGCAGCTAATGGTGTCCAGAGGGGTATAGCCACATTTTTACAACTATCCCCTTTATCACAGTCATTGAAAATTAATTAAGCAAATTCCTTTACTGCATTCCAAGTCACATATATTGTAACTGATGTAGAAATTGATGAAGATAAATTGAAGTTTCATTTCTTAGAGTTCTATTTCTGTAGTTGCACTTTTTTTACTTTAAATTTTACTTTAGTTCTTTTTTTAAAGTTAAAAATACTTTTAATTTTATTTCTAATGTTTTTGGACTTCTTGTTATTGTCTTAGGTGTTTGTAATACTGATAACTTCAGTTTGTTATCCATTACAATTGACTATGGTCCATTTGGTTTCATGGAAGCATATAGTCCTGGTATGTATGATTTACACACATACACACTTCTAGTATACATGCACACATACCTTATTATAGTCAACAAATCATCACAGATTCGCTTTATATGAACTGCTATAGCTAATACAATGATGATGGCATAGTAGAAAGAATAGGGTTCATTCATAAAATAGTCACTTACCTGTTCCTCAGTCTTCCAGGTGCCATAGAGATACACGAAGGAGTCCTCTATGTTCTTATCCTGAAGCATGACAAGTCAGTAAAGATCACGTGGAGACAGGGCGTGTTGGCAGGCAGATGATGGTTTGTGTCCAGGGATCTGAACCTTGATGGCTCTGAGCCTTACAGAAGTTACTTAATCTCTCACTTTCGTAACCTATAAAGTGTAATAGTACACACTTATTGCTGGTGGGGTCAGAAGAAGCTGTCTGGAGGGCATGCTACTTAGTAGGAGTTTAAAGTACATGTTTGATAACCTGGAAATTTCTGTAGATTAGAAATGTATTCCTCCTATTAGGCAGATTATCTATTTTAAAAGATTTTAATGCATGTTGGTATTAGTGGTTTTATTACTTTTGATATGAAGGTTTAATGTCAGATTTTTGTCTAATAAGTATAACTACTATATTTAAACTTAGAAATGATAAAAGAAACTATTTATTGTACTTATTCCCATTATGAACAAAATTGTATTTTGTTTTAAACAGATTTTGTACCAAACATATCTGATGATGAAAGAAGATATAAAATAGGAAATCAGGCTAATGTTGGGATGTTTAATTTAAATAAGTTATTACAAGCTCTAAACCCTTTATTGGATCCTAGGCAAAAGCAACTGTGAGTAAATCATAAGTCTGCTAAATAAATCTTCTTGGAAATTTACTTGTATAATGATTTTTTTTTGAAAAAAAAATTTAAAAACCATCTTACTATTTAGTCTTTAACCATGAAGGCATTTCAAACTATATTTTTCTCTAGCATAGTTTTGACTTTATTCCATAATTATCAGGACAAAGTGTTTTCTTATTTATTGCTCTTTTAGGTGTTATAAAAGTTTAGTTTATTCTTAAATTGAAGGATTTTTTTAATCATTTGTTTTTTAATTTCTAAGTGGTTAAAATTATTTTGTCTATATTTTTACAATCAAATAATATGTTTGGTAAAACCTACTGTTCAAAATGTGTTAAGGTTACTTGGTGGTCCAACATAGTAAGTTTTTGTATGTTTTATGACCATAAAAAAATATATATGTACTCCATGGCCAAAGGTTTTAATATAATATATTGGGAATGTTCCAGGGTATTATTCAAGTCCTTTATGACCCTATTCACTTTTATCTAGTAGATAAGTATGGATCATGAGATGTGTATTAAAATCTCCTACCTTAATTGTAGTTTTTCATGTCCTTTTCTTTAATTGTTTTACATTTTTTTGTTCTATTTTTTATGTATTTTGCTATTGTATTATTGGTATATACATTTTTTTAAATTTCACATCATTCTTCCTTTGTTGTACAATGTATGCTTTCTCAGGTGTAGTTCCCATAAAATTCCCAGCACCGATTCACCCCTGCACTATCACGTAGTCCCTTGTGTAAGAACACATTCCCTCCCTGTTTCGATCCCTCTTTCTTGCAGAATGTCTTGATTTATAGTTGCCTGCTAGTTATGTTTTTTATTATATATTTTTTCCTGGTTCCTTATTTGGTTACCTTACATTCTCCTATAAGTGAAACCATCAGATAATTTTCTCTTTCTGGCTTATTTCACTGAGCATAATCCCGTCTAGCTCTTTTCATATTGTTGCAAATGATATATGAGTTTATCGTTTTGATTGCTGAGTGATATTCCTTTGTGTATAGGTATATACAGGGTTTGTTTCACTTAAAGCACATTTAAGAATGTTAAGAATGAAAGTATAACTTGTTTATAGATATTTTAAGGTAAAAAACTAATTTTACTGTTTGTATGAAATATTTCACTATATTTTCATAAGTTCAGACAAATAATTTTTGTATTGGCTAAAGTAGTTGTAATGCATTAGTTTGGGCTTAAGCTGATTTAAGAAATAGACAAAGAAAAGTCCACTTACATAATTGCTTTGGTATTATAGAGACATCAACACTTATCCTATAAGCTAATTGTATATGAAAATGTTTCAAGAGTGACATGATTTGTACTCAAATCTTGGATATAGTAAATTCTGACAATTTTCTGTAAGACATGATAGATAATTATCACTAGGCCAGACTCATATTATCTAATACGCTCCTATAGTGTTATTTAATGTATGAGAAGTTTCACTTTGTTCTTATAAAAGGTGATTTAAAGATGTTAATTTTAAGTTAAGCTTTAACTGTCCTTTATTTTTCCCTCTTTAGTGCTGCTCAGATTCTTGAGGGGTATCCAGTTATTTATTATACAAGGTTTGTTCTTTTTGAATAGATAATCAATCATACTGGTTGGGTTGAGGGCAATTCTTAAAACAGTAAGAACCTTAATGAATTGACATTTCTCATTTTAGGTTTAGGGAGTTGTTTAAAGTCAAATTAGGATTACTTGGAGAAAATAAGGATGATAATGACTTAATTGCGTATCTTTTACATGTAAGTTTATTATTTTATCTTCCTTCTGATTAATATTTGAATTACTATTCAGCATATTCTTGAGGAATAGAGGCTGATAAATATAGTTATTTTCATTAGCTCATGGAAGAGACAGAAGCTGATTTTACAATGACATTTCGGCAGCTCAGTGAGATCACCCAAAGCCAGCTACAGGAACTCCACATCCCACAGGTATGGGCTTGTGATATTTGACTCTCTTCTTAATTCAGTTTTTCTTTAACAGGCTTATTGAGGTATAATTCATATATCAGAAAATTCCACTCCTTTCATGTGTGAAAAATCTAGTGATTTTCAGTAATTTACAGATTTGTTTTGGTACCACCACAATTTAATTTTAGAGTAGTTCCATTTTTTAAAAAAGATCCTTTATGCCCTTTTGCAGTTAGTTTCTGTTTCTCTTTCATCTTTAAGTGATTAGTAGTCTACATCCTGTCTCTTAAGGCTTTTACTCTCTTGATTTTCCCCATGAATGGAATCATATATTATGTAGTCTTTTGCATCTAGCTTCTTTACTAAGCATATTTTTAATGTTCATCTGTGTCCTAACTATATCAGTAAGTTCTTCCTTTTTTTGAGATTTATTTATTTGTACATACAGAACTGGGGTACAGGCCAGAGGCTGAGGGGTGGCGAGAGGCTTCACTAGAGACAGAGCGGGGAGCAGAACAGGCAGATCAACGAAGTACACTGCTAAAGGGGAGCAGCGGGCGGGTCAGGAGAGGTCTGCCACACCATGTGGTCACCTCTGGGGCAGGCGGGAATCAAACTCATGC